ATCAACACCCACCGACAACTCTTGGGCTACTCTTTTACTAAGGAATAATGGGATTTACCGTCACATTATAATGCCCCACGGCTGCCTTCCCTCTAGTCTTACACTGCTAAATTAGGGACGGCTAGCGCAGATAGCCCTCGTGTAGCTTTGCGCGAAATTCAAAAACAAACAAACAAACAAGCTTGAAATTGTTATAAGAACAAAGTATCATTTTAATCCACTAATTATCTGAGAGTAAACCAAGCTCGTGGATATTTAAATATTTATGACTTATTTCAGTTTTTAAACTGTTCAGTTATTATTTAATAACATTAACATATTGAACTGTTACATTGAAAATACTGCGTTAATAATTTTGTGGTTCAATTAGCTATAATAAGAATCGCCGTATCAAATGTTATATCATAATTTACATTCTCATATAAAAATATTGCGTAAAATATTCATTAATTTTCTAACTTAAAATAATCACATTTTCTTGCAAAATCTAACCTCACAGCTCTCTGTACGTCGGTGGAACAGCAGTAATACTGCGGACTTAGAAAGCTAAAATCCTGGGTTCGATTCTCCGCGGTAAACACAGCAGATAGCTTTAAAACAAGTAATGAAACATCCCTCTTTTCTTTTTAAAAATCTCACAGTTCAAAAAGTTACACATGTAATAATCAACTATTTCCTGAAAATTGATTTGTTTGTTTGTTTTAGAATATCGTGCAAAGTTACAGAAGTGCTATCTGCCCTAATTGTGAAATGGTAGGACAGAAAGAAAGCAACTAGTCACCAGCACCCCCTCACGCCTCCCAGACTTTAGGGTACCCTTATCTGATAGTCCTCGGTGGCCCAGCGGCAAATCTTATGGCCCATAACGCTAAAAACTGTGTTTCAATACCTACGGTGGACAGAGCAAAGATATCCCATTGTATAGTAAGAAAAAAAAAACTTGTATGATCGAAGAGGGGGATTTGACTGTCCCTATTATAGCGCACTCCCGGCCCTAACGCGCGGAGTGCGTTTTTTTTGCGCCAACATGTCGCGAACTAAAATTTTTCAGATTCAACGACCGACAATACTAGCCACGAGGACACAACCGTCTCTCACAGAATTGGAAAGTACACATTTTCTTATTGCATCCCCTTTTCATCGTTCTTCGTTTTCTTAAAATCCCAGTCCTATGTAGGGCAAATTAATTAATAAATAAACTATTGGATCAATGTTAGTGAATAAGAATTATTCTTAGCTGAAACTGCTGGGACGCAATCCGCATTAGGAAGCAAAAGTGAAGATTGATAGCACCTCCAACCACCACCAAAACATACTGAACATACATAAACAAATATAAGCTCAAACCAAAACATACATGAACAAATATAAGCTCAAACCAAAACATACATAAACAAGTATAAGCTAAGTGGACACATTTCTGCTTCAGAGATAAATACGATTTACTTAAATAAACTTATCCTTAATATAAATATAATTAGTATTAACCTAATATATGTTTACTTCAGCCGTTACGGACCACTTTTCATAAAAGTTATAATAACCAGTTTATATTTTAAAAAGATAATCGTGACTATAGCTCACAGGTATAACCGTTTAACCGCAATTACCAACAAAACAAACAAACGTACAACGTTTAATATTGTTAATAAACCATTCCTTAAAAGTACCAAAAGGTGAATGAATAGGAATTTGGAATAAGAATTATCTTTGCTGTTCTTATTTTTTGAAGTCCTCGTTTAAATTGGTATAAGGGTTGAAGTTAAGATTCGATTCAATAATTCTTTCCAAAAACATCACGTTTGTACTTTTGTTTTTCGTTATGTGTGCTTTTCTACTTTTTCAGAGAGTCTAACATATATGTTTATATTGTGTTTGATTGGGTGTTTCTAGAGCACAGTCACACTGGGTTGTCTGCTATGTCCACCGCGAGGAATCAAACCCCGGATTTTAGCGTTGTAAGTCCGTAATCTTACCGCTGTCCCACCAGGGGACATGTACTTATTAGAGTGATAGATAAAAAATAAAATAAAAATACAATACAATAGAAAATAAGGCTAATTTAACCAATTAAAACTAAGATAAATACGGGTTATCTGATAAAAATAATAATTTCATTTTTATCTTTTGTAGCGAGATATTACTTGGAACTTTATTTATGTTTATATTGCTTTATAGCTGCACCAATGCACCTTTTATTGGGGATAAAAATGTCAATGGTTGGATTTTTTTTTAACTCGGAGCGATACATTGTTTTTTTATAGTCATACATCTTATTTTCTGGGATTTCCAAAATAAAGTTCTCTACACATTTCATTATTTTGTTCTTGGCCTTAGTTTTAGGGCTACGATCATGAGAGTTAACCCTGACACACCAAACACTGCCGCCACGCCCCCACCTGGAATTTCGCTCTAGTGTGTGTATGTGAAAAACCCGTAGCGGGTAGTGGCACGCGGTTTTGTATGCACAACTTCAACCGCCTGCACTGATTCGAGGTATCTGTACAGTTGCAGCTTCCTTACGTCACAGTTTTCTTGTTGCTATTAGACACGAGTTTATTATTCCTGTGATATGATCGATTAGTGCTCTCTCTTTGCAGCCACTGCTCAGTTCGATTCCCGTAATTTTGTGTGGGAGAGCTCTTGTCACGACGTCATAATGTACTGAAAGCGCGTTTCGTCAGTTGCCTTGAGCTAGCCGATTCATCCCTCGTTACATGGACTTGCGACGATTGGCTGACGCGCCAGGTACATGCTCTCTGGTTGACGTCATGAACACCACTGACGTCACGGACCGTCTAGTGTTCCCCGAGAATTGGCTGGTGGAATATATTCGCTCGATGGAAAGGATTTTCCGTAATCGAGCCAGAGACGAGGGACCGAGCAGACTACCAGATGAGAAGCAGGGGTTCAGATGCATTACCTGTGGACTGCGTATTCTCTTAACCTGGCTGACAAGCACCCACCTTCCCCACCTGTTTACAGAGAGACACCATCGCCCACGTTCGGCAGAGGCTCAGTCTTCGACACTTGCTTCTCCACCGTTCCTACTACAGGTTGGTCCTTTTACCCGGAATAAGTACCAACCAAGCTTCAGTTATATAGAAAGCTAGATGTGTGATATTATTTGGTATTAGTGTTTATATCTTAGTTCATTATTGTATGCAAAAATTCTGGCTTGATATGAACGTAACCCGATGAAAACAGCCCTCGACGCATATGTTTCGTAGAATCAGTTTATCACGTGTGTTTCTGAGGTAACCGCGTTCATGCACGTGCGCTGGAGTTAATTGTGATTATGAGTTTTCTGTAGTAGTACAGTAACTTCATCGAATTCCCGTATCTTGCTTTTCGGTGTTAGTATTTGAAAAATTGTAGGCATACATTTGTTATTTATATAAGTTAACAAGCGAGCGGCTCTAAGCATACAGTACACATATAATAACTCCTTGGTTCGGTTCAACTCCCACAACAACGATTGGGGCCAACTGACATTCAATACCACACTTCTGTCAAATTGGATCAATCAGCATCGATTCCAGTTTTCCAGTTAACATTCCGGATAAACAAGGGATTCCCAGGTTATCTAGACGTGAGTATGGTACCGTAATCGTTTTCCTAGCACGTGATTTTTCCCGCCCTATATTCTCCCAGCTAAACTTAGAAGTTCTTTAAGCAGTTAAACCTTACACTAAAACCTACGTGAAGTTAGTTAGCCCATTCATGGGTTTCTAGCTTTTTTCAAATATGATTTTAAACGGTTTATTATACATTCGTATTTCTTCAAGCAAAACGTATCCCGCAAACGTAAAACTATTTCGTTATAAATCACTTCACTGACCTGATATCATCACACGTAAATCTTGTAAATATTTACGACTAATTAGCCTCGACTATGAACTTATTAATGTTATATGTGTGCTCACGATGTTTAGAGTCTATTGCTGAAGCTGATACCATAGAAAGTTAAGGTTTTATGTCAAAATATCTGCGGGATTGTCAGGTGGCTAATTTCGTAAGTATTAAAAACACTAGTGAATACAAATGTTTTTTTTTTTCTCTCACACGTGCACCAATTCTTACGTAGACTTTATGTTTATTTATTAAGATAAAAAGTTACGTTAGTATGTATGTAAATATAAGTTCTTTCATACTGTTAAACATGCGGACTTTAAGGGTAAATTTACAAAAGTAACTCTAAACACTTCTTAATGATATTTTTGCACCCGTATTATAGAAAGCTGACAATATATATAAATATTAGATTGTCGTTTGTGGTGTGTTTAAATTAATCTAAGAAAATTTACTCAATTTCTTTCATGTGAATACAATGAAGTCACGTTACTCTATTGTTTCGTTAGCTTAAGTGACGGGAGTATTTTCGAGTTTGTAGTGACGTCACAATATAAAATGATACTCCAAGCAAGTAATTTTGATTAATTTAACTACAACTGCTACGTTAAAGGTATTATTGAGTCACTATAGATCGATCACTAAATTCCACCCGATCTTGAGTTAACTTTCTTAAAATTATAGTCCAAGTTATATTACTAATTTGTGCTAAATTTGTGACAGTTATGTGATTTATTAGACAAGAAAATGAAAGAGAATACAAATACGACATAAACATTAGCCAAGCAGTGCGTTTAGTAGTGGCAACTACGTTTTTCCTCTCCCTGACGTAGGTTCTTCTGCTGACGTCGGTTGCGTGCCGTTTAAAGAAGGCACAGGATGCCAAACCGTCACTAACTTATTTTGTAACGTGCCCTAGCAACAACAAAGTTTAGTTCCTGCCATCGATCTTCGCTGTATGTAACGTCAGCAGTGACAAGGTCAACACCTCATAGCGCGTGCACTTTTGTTTGACGTCAGCAAGGAACGGTATTTTCGGTTGATGACGGGAGACTGGTACATATACTAACTTATTCTTAACTCTTAATGTTTATAGAGCAATCAAATGCGACTGACGCTCGCTCGCTCCTACTTCTTATTTGGAGTGAAAACGTAAAAACTACAAACATGCTTTCTGACTGAATAAAGTAACCTAATCGACATATATATTAACGGATGACGTCATTATAGCGTATAATCACTATATATCAGTATAAATTGTAAATATATAAAGACAATAGAACTGAAAAGTTATAACGTACAACTGTTTGAAAGTATAGATTATTTGAAAATGAACTATTTTCTAAATTAATAAAGGCCTTTAAAATGCTATTTTGCGTACAAAATGGAATCGATGTGCCCCTGTAAATCCATTTTTCTGGCATATTTTGAGTGCAATACACTCAAGCTAGCTAGAACGGTCATCACGTGCTGTTTCACAGATAAGAAAAAAAATCAACTTATCTTTTTTTTTAATCTATCTTGCTACGTTTCAGGCTTTAATTTTTTGCTTAGGGAATTATAAAGTGAAATTTAAGCCATAACTTTTCCCTCAAGTATATACGTACACGACACGGTCGTAGACGATGCTATCAGTATAGTTTTGTTCCGACTGGAACTCATAGTTCACGTTATGATCGAATCTCATCATGCCTAAATGTTTCGTGGACCATTAAACAATTAATTAGTAAGCTGAAATTTGATCTCTCTAGGGACACGTGGTCCTTGCTTGTGGTTGGAATTGTGCATTCTGTGTCGATTGAGACTTTTACTTGACAACTTGATGCATAGTTAAATGCGTAGCGTATGTTAGGCTTAGGTCTCATAAACATCTTTACTAACCTCCTGCATTTGGCTCTTCTGGGAAATGGACGGCTAATGAAATTTGTCAAGACAGATAATGAATGTTGTCGTCTAAAATGTCAATGAAATTTATAAAAGTCACGATCACTCACGTTCCTCCTCAAATATCGTGTCAGCAAGTAAGTGTGAACGGACAGTTGCTTGTGTTCTATAGTTTTCATGAGCCTACGTCTCGAAACATATTTAGTCATTGAAATTACTCAAGTTACTGAAGTCCCTAGAAGTTCCGCGAATTTTCGACCTTAATCAGTCAGATATATAGTTTTGTTTATAAAGTATATACCTACGTTTGTTTGAATTCACAATATTTTAAAAAAAACATTTCTAGAAGCAGTAGATGAGCCCTCTATGTCTTTAATGTCGTGTAAGTTAACGCTTATCATGAATATTTCTATTTCTTTGTAATACATTTCCGTTATAAGATTAATATATTTTCTCCTCTTTATTATATATATATATGTATGTAGTTAGTTCTATATAACAATCGATCTTTCCTTCACATTAATATATAAACAACACATTTACATCTGCCCATCTTGTAGCTAACCATTCCAACTAACACAGTGTTTAACAAATGGTATATTTCTTACGTTTGTTATCTAGCTGATAGTAATCTGAAGAGTGAAGAATACAACTTTGCTGTTGCAGAAACGCCGGTGTCCCTAAACATTGTACCAAGTACGAGTGTAGATACTTCGTATACAGCTAATGTGATAGTCGACACTCCATCTGGTTCCTCTGTAGCAACTGGAAGTACTCCTAAGACGCTACCAGATTCCGAAATGCTATTACTTCAACAGCCTCAGGTAATTCCCTATATATTTCAGTGAACGTATATATTAAAAAAGTAACTTTTAATTTTCCGATTAACAACTTTCTTGTGGTTGTTATATATACGTAAGCTTTAGCAACATAACATTGTTTTAAACCGAAAGAACTAATGTTGTACTTAGTGTTCTGTATGATAATAGAAGCATACAACGGTTCTAAGTATCTGATTAATGTTTCACCTGGTATTTAATATTTGTTGCCTCAGATAACATATTTATTTATTTATTCTGAAGGCTTACAAAATCTGATAAAGAACGATCCAGTATGAATATCCCTTAATATACATGATTTGATCCAGTATGAATATCCCTTAATATACATGATTTGATCCAGTATGAATATCCCTTAATATACATGATTTGATCCAGTATGAATATCCCTTAATATACATGATTTGATCCAGTATGAATATCCCTTAATATACATGATTTGATCCAGTATGAATATCCCTTAATATACATGATTTCTTTTACTCTACATCTACACGTAAAATAGCATAGATTCAAAATGTACGTTACTCAATGCTTATTGTAAAGGAGAGAAAGTCTGGTGATACTACTGTATACACTGATAATATTGGTACTCTTACGATCTACATTAAAGATATATTCATGGAGAAAAGGGTCAGCACCAGTGCTAGACAAATAAGAAACTGTACGTGGATTTGCCGGTTACTTCTCAGAAAACTGAGGGATAGGTGTGTGAATGTATTGAAGCTGTTAAATACATTTACTGTATCGTTCGTAAATCAAATATATATGTTCACCTCTCGTATTTATTTGACACTTACCAGGATAATAAAAAAACACACTGAGGGTTCTGTTATCTTTATCAAGTTGTCAAAACGGTCGGAATCATCGCGAAACCAGTTTTTCAGATATCAGTCATTTGGCCTTATCTTTCTGTTCATTCTATTGGAACTGTAAAGCAGATCAGATACTATACACCAGTTATGATAAGAAAACAAGCTTATGCGAAATATTTCTGCTATTATCGAGATTTGCCCACAAAACGGTTTGACTTAAAACCAAAATGAAATAATACGTACAATGAAAATTATTTTAGTTAAATGTCTAAAACAAGTTTCAATATCTAAGTATATTTTAACTCTTTAATAACAGTGTGGTTTAATTACTTTGTTGGTTTAATTTGTCAAAATTATTGAATAACGTAACGAGGTTTAGTATCCGTTTATAAATTCAGATTTTATTTTTCTGCGTGAAACTTAATAAGTGCTTAAACAGTTTTTTTCCCTGTTTCCCCACACACAAACAGGACACTTCGTTCACTACATCTGGCAGCCTTTTGGTTCCAGAGTATGGTGTCCCATTCTCAGAAGAAACTTTCTTTGGAGAAGAATTCAAGTTTCCTCCTATAGATTTTAGTGATACCGTCGAGAGCCTAGGTCCACAGCCAGACAACAGCACGAGCTGTTTTGGCGACATTTTCCAAACAAATTTTTCGGAAGCAGGTTGTGGAATCAATACAACAAACTTATCTTGTCTTTCGGATCCTCCTTCTTCGATCACAGTTACTGCGTCCATGTCCCTTCCTAGTTTTCAGGAAACTTATTCTCCTAGATACCGTCGTGACGTCACTCAACAAGAAGTATTCTCTTTCAAAGATGAGGACCTTCCCCCACAAAATCTGGAACCCCAAATACCACAGGAAACGTTTAACGTTCAAGATGTTTTAGGTGATCCATCAAACAATACGTTGCCACAATATTCCACGTTTCCTCTAACACAATCTGCTGAAACCGGGGTTGCTTTCTACAAAAGTGAATGTGCCGATCCTACAACATTCAGTTCGTCAACAGTACAGCAAGATCCATCACATTTCATCCCACCTCCCTATTCTTGCAGTCAAGGCACGAATAACGATCCAGCTTTCCAACAGATGACGTTCGTGCAGCATCAAAAAACTCCACCCCCACCTTATCAACAAACTCATTTTCCTTCCTCACTTCATATGCCTCCTCTAGTGGAGACTAGCAGCTTTTCTTCAAAGACAATTCAATATCCTCATCAGATGGCACCATTTCATCATAGCATAACGCCACAGCTGCCAAATTTCGCCAGAAGAGGTCGTAAACGGCCATCTCTAACTATCCCTAGCCCTCTACCGTTAGAAACAAGGTGAGTCTATTTCATAAAAAATATAAATAGTAAAATAGAAAAGAAGCGTACTACGTCACTAGATAGCGTAGTGTTGTAGAAAAAGCTAACGAAACGTTAATTTAAACACATCGAAATACTAATTCAAGTTGGTAAAATTGTTTGTTTCTAGTTGCTTTTAGAATTAACTGGTTGTATGATTCATCTGTGTGATGCATTATATCAGTAAGTAATAAATCCAGAAAACTCAGTTTTTTTAGACCCTCTTTCTATATCTGGCTTTATATTATTGGTTTAAGCAGAACGTACCATCATAACTAAAGACGCAAATACATTTTCAACTATCATCTATAAAAAGCTTTTCATCACTTAGAGCTAGTTAATGCTCGTATTATATATTTCTGTACTGCATGGATTTTTAAATGTTTTTGATTTAATAAATATTAAAATTCCTCTATACGTTCAAAAAAAGAGAATTATATCCTCACAAGCATTATTTGCCCTCGTGTTCAGGACATAACAGTTCGATAAAACATGCAACATATGAAACGCTGAAGTAGTTATATGATGAGAAAATAAAGAAAGGTAAATTATAACAACTGGCAAAAACAACACTACCGTTTTAGTAAATCCAAGAAAGCTAAATTATAACAACTGGCAAAAACAACATTACTGTTTTAGTAAATCAAAGAAAGCTAAATTATAACAACTGGCAAAAACAACACTACCGTTTTAGTAAATCAAAGAAAGCTAAATTATAACAACACTACTGTTTTAGTAAATCCAAGAAAGCTGAATTATAACAACTGGCAAAAACAACACTACTGTTTTAGTAAATCAATATTCCAAACAATTCTCACTCACAGACTTCATCTATCTTTGCAAGATACTGAACAGTTAAAAGACATGTGAAATAACTGTCGTTTCACGTGTCTTTCTAAACAGTCTTGGAGGACGATTGCAGACTCCATCTACTCCAACTACACCCAAATCTACGTCCAGCCGCTCTTCCTCGGGGGAGTCGGCCCCCTCCCCTTCGCAGATGTGTGCTGTTTGCGGAGATAACGCTGCCTGTCAGCATTATGGCGTAAGGACATGCGAAGGATGCAAAGGATTTTTTAAGGTAATTACAAGCTATTCTATAGGTGTTTTGATATGCGCTATGGAAACAAATTTAGTAAGTGTTTGTTTGTTTTTTTTAATTTCGCGCAAAGCTACACGAGGGCTATCTGCGCTAGCCGTCCCTAATTTAGCAG